TGTACTATTATCCCAGTTCAGAGTCCAGAAGTCGCCCATTAGACGTCTCCTGAATGTCCAGACTTCCCCCAGACGATGCATGCCCACTGGGATCTTTTATATCCACATTATTTTGTTTGGAAAGCTTTTTTGGTCTAATTTTTAGTTTTAATCAATTTTTGATTTAAGAGGTTTTGAAAATAAGACTTTTTTTGTAGCAGCAAGGTTTCATACGAGTTTCTTTTCAGATATTTTAATTTTTTTTAATTTTTTAATTCAGCTTTTGTTACCAAAAGAAACTAATTGTCCTCGTCTCAAAGAAATATTGCATCAATTGACATTAAAACCTGAATGTTAAAAAGAAACGCGATAGCCAGGTTATTTATATTACTAGATTCATGTTCATGAGTAATTCATTTGATTAATTTTATAAATTTTCCTTAATTTCTTTAGAATTTTTTTAAGGTTTTAAGTGATTACACTGGAATGAAAGTTGATTTTACAAATATTGGAATAGTTGATGATGTCTTTAAATGTGAAGTATTAAGAAATCATTTTTAATATTTACTATAAAAATTAAAATTTTTGAAATAACTTAAAAAATATTTTTACAAATAATTAATTTACGTAATAATTACACAGGTCTACCAAACATTTACTGCATGAAATTTGACACTTTTTCGAAGTTTTGATGAATTCAATGAATTCAAATCTGGTATCAGATTTTTATGGAAAGTTACAGGTTTTTTGCATTAAATATTTTTTTATTTTGCAAATTATTAAAAATAATTGTAAAAAACAGATTTGAAACTCATTTTGAAAAGCTAGGATATGTTTTGAAAAATGTAATTTGTTTACCAAGAAAAAAAAAATATTTTACCCAAGTTTTAAAAAAGATTGCAGGTATTATTGTTAAATTAAAACTATTCAATCAGGAAGAAAATTTTGATTGTTGCAATTTTGTTTATAAATTTTCCTGAATCTTCTCACTTACACATACTCCAACAATAGTCTGTCATCATGTGTTTATCCCAAGGTTCATGGTAACACTCTTTGATTGGCTTGAGAGTTTGGTGGAATCGCATTCCTTGTCTTCACTCACATCTCCAAGATTTCTAGGAAACTGGTCAAGATGGCTATTTATGAAATGAAGTTTTATTCTCATTTTGCATCCAACATTACAAAAGGCTTTCAATATTTTATCAACTAAATCTGCATTGTTTTTTGCTTTTTTAATTCCAAGTAAATTTTTTACAACAATTACAAATGGCTACCAAGCCATTTGTAATTGTTGTTCTCTTTGCTATTTATTTTTTTAATGAACTCTATCATTTACAAGATAGCGAATTTGTGGTCCATTAAAAACTCTTTTTTCTATTGACAAACCTGGTAATGCTGTAACTATGTCTGAAAGCAATTAGTATCGATTTTCAGTGCTTTAACTGTCCAGTGCTTTAACTTGCTAACTGTTAACAGTGCTGTAATTGTTTCATGAATCCAGGTTTAAGATGGAGTGGCATTGTTTTTTCAACTAACAATGGATTTGTTCACAATATTTTCCATGCCCACTGTGAGAGTTTTGAATGGGCCATTATGTTTGTATCCATTATTGGTTTTTTGCTCAACTGTCCCACATGCATAGATATCATGTAAAGTTTGTAAAAACTTTGCAGATCAAGGAGAATATTAACTATTAGATCTGCACAAACAATCCAGTTGTGTTTGTAATATTTAATCAAATTAGGCACCATTTTAATGTCATCGTAAGTCTCTCACAATTACACAGATTGACCAATTAGTACAGAACCAAAAATATTGCTATTGTGTAAAATCATTTGTTCGAGGCTTCACTTTGGGCTATCAATAAAAAGTCCATTCTGTTGGATTGTATGCAGAACAACTCAACTGTAATAGGAGACCTGAAATATCATGACAGTAAACAGATAAATCAACTTCTAAAAAAAAGTTAACAAAATTTTCATCTCTTTTTCTAAAGTAAGAGACATTTGCAAACTATCAATTTAACAGGTCTTTTTCCTTTAATCGAAATGCTACTAATTCTGCTGCATGCTTCAAAATCATGAATCTCTCTCTGACTAAAATACTGAGGCAAATTGATTTGTTTTGAATTGAAAAAAGAGAAGTCTTTGAAATCTGGTAATAATTCTTTTGTTTCTGCAACAACATACTTTGTTGATCATCTGACAAAAATAAACTTTTAAAAATTGGAACTGGAATCTTGTCAGAATGTTGAGTCGGTCTAATAGCAGAATGAATTTTGGGATAAGCTATTTTTCGCTTCTTTATTTTGCCAATACTAGTAGTATCAATGAGACAAAAATAGCAGTCGTTAATATGGTTTAGGGGTTCTTGCCAAACCATGGGGGCTCCATAAGGTAAAATTTTTTTCATTTTGTCTGATTTTGAGGACTTTCATTACAAATATTGCACACAGTATATGGAGCTTAGTTTTTATCTTGGTCACTGAGATTAATATTGAAATACGATTTATATGCTGGTTTTACAAAGTTAGCTGTTTCGTTTTTGTTGCACAAGTTTATAGAATTTTTAACAACAGAATTTTAGTTTCTGTGGTTGCACAACCACAGATTGTTAGTTAGGTTTAACATTCTGTGGTTGCACAAAACCACAGAATTTTAGTTAGGATTATGCTTGTACTTATGTCAATTTGAAGAAATCATCATATTATATATTTGATCTGAAAAAATCAATAACATGGTCACTTTTTTCATAATTATTGAAAGAAAAAACTTGTGAAAAACATGATTTTTTAAAAATTAATAAATTAGTTATTACAAAAAAAACTAGAGCTTGCCAACAAAAATGGAGCTTATGTTTTGATTCAGTGTTTAAAAATACATAAAAATCAGTTTAAACATCTCATGCAACAGAAAAAAAGTTTTTTTTAATTTAAATAATAATTTTTTTCGAAATAAACTTTAAAAAATTAATTCAATTTAATTTTTTTTTTTTAAAAGATTTGTTTTTATTAATTACAAAATATTTTATATGCAAAATATTACTTTAATATCCACTAATTTTATTCACTAATAATAATTATTATCAAAATAATTTATTTTGAAATGGTATTTTAACTTTAACAAAGTTAAACAATTTTCTGCCATTATAATTATCATTTAAATTTTAAATGGGATCTGTATACACTGTACTTGTTTACACTGTACTTGTATACACTGTACTTGTTTATACAGCAGCATCCAAAAGTAATTTGACAAACAGCCTTTTTGCAATATTTTCTCAATAATAAAACTTTTTTAAATGAAATTTTTTATACATTTATAAAATTACACTAGAATTTTGAAAAATAACATACTTGAGAGTAATTACTCAAAATTTTATTTAAATTATGGAAATGATTGCTCACAATTTTTTTTATCTAAATGTACATTTGTATAAAAAAATTCAGTAATTAACTGCTCTTAACAAAACATATAAATATTCAACAGAGACTATTAAAAAGTTAGTTGTGCAAACAGCAGATAACGAAAATACTTTCAACAAATTTCAGCTTTAATCAACACTTCATGAACAACAGTTGGCTGTACATTGAATAATTTTTGATGATGGAATCATTTCAAAGTATTGCCGAAGTTATTGAAATCTACAATATCTCACTGAGATTTTTTTTTTTTAATTTAAATTCAGCTCCTTAATGGCCATGAAGGCCACTACAGTCAAGGAGACTACTTTTAGTTGTGGTTACAACCCTATCTCAACTCTATAACTCCGAAACACGGAGAAACAAGTTGACTGCGGTGTTACCAAGGAAGTGGCAGGGATCAAACTCATAGCTTCTCCTTATAGAACTCATACCTTCTCATTATGAGGCAAGCACTCTACCAATATTGCCTCAAACGATAATGTTGTAGTGAGATTTTCAAAGGCAGATCCATTTTCAAATTGGACAGCGTGGAGTGATGAATCAGAGTTGAAGATGTTTGGCTTTGTTTGTGCTAAATGTTTAACATTTCGTAGGTTACCAAAATTTTAAGTGCCAAAGTTTCCACAGTAAAGCATATTGGTGGCTTAGTAATGGTTTGGTCATGTTTAAGCCATAATAAAGTTGATCTAGTCTATTGAATTCAAGGTATTATGGACAAAAACACGTATGAAGAATAACCAGGGCGCAATGCTGTAACATACAAAAGACAAAATGTTGTGGGGTTGGTCAACATGACAACAATTCAAAATACGCATCCAAGCTATTCACAAAATTTTCCATCCAAAATAAATTTTGAGTCTTAAAATGATCATCATGATTTCTAAACGTTAGCCCGATTTAAAGTCTTAGAGAGCACATTAAGAGAAAATTTAGTTGTCACAACCCAACTAATCTATGGGATTTGTTTGGGTTGATTAAAGGCACCTAGGACTAAGTACAAATTCATGTTTCAATGAATTTGGTTGATACAATGTTTTCATTGTTGCAAAAGGTTTTCCAATCAATTATAAGATTAAATACATTTTATATACATCATGCAACAGATTGTAACATATCATTATGTAACAGAGATCATAAAAAATGCTGAAACTTATCATTTGTTGTGACAAATATTGTTTTTAATGGATGTATATACATAGTCTAATAACTTTTAAGCCAATCATTTCCATTTTAATAAAATTTTGAGTAATTAAACTTTTAAAGTGATTTTATCTTTTTTGTTAATGTATTATTATTTAACTTAGTTATATGTAATTTCATTTAAAAAAACTTAATGAAAAAGTATTACGAAAAATGTTTTTTCAATTATCTTTAAACAATACTGTATTTCATTAGGCAGCTCAAGGCTTTAATCCACCAAAATGGTTCAAAGATATAAAGATGTAACTTCTTGGTATAAAGTCATGACTGGTTTTGTATCAATTTAAGAATACTGATGACGAGCTAGGAAGATTGTTAGGAGGTATCCTATACTAAATTGTAACACAATTTTTGTATCATATTTGTTCCTTTTTTAAATAAATTTAATATATTTTAG